TGCACCCGGCGGCGGTCCGCAACGTCTCGCGGCGCGCCGCCAGCCACGCCGTGAATTCATGGGCGATGTCGCTGTCGTCGGGCGGCTGGTACAAGCTCGGCTGGATGTGGTCCATGAAGGCCTCCATCTCGGCCGCGGTCACGTCGTCGGGCGCGTCGACGGGCTGCAAGGCCGTGGACCGCACGGCGGGGCGGCTGCGCCAGGACTGGCGCGTCGCTGACGACGAGCCGAAGCAAAAAGGGCTGCACGACGGCAAGCCCGGCTGCATTCTCGCGCCGGGACGGCGATCCTGGTCGAGCACGAGACGCCGCCTGCTTTTGCGGTCGTTTCTTTTCTTGATTCCGTTTGTTGCAAACGGAATCAGTTGCAAAACCCTGAATAAAAAAACAAAACGCGAAAATCCCCTTTGCAGCCAAGCCTACCGGGCACCTAAGCGTATTAATTTCGTCGAGTCGGCTCTGCCCGTTGCTCGCCCCTCCCCCCCCCTTCTCGCATCTCGGCCCGACCGACCCCGAGTAGCCCGCCCACGAGGAGGCGGTCAGGGTGGTTGGGTGGTTCCTCAGTCCTACCTCAGTCCCGCCCACAGATCATCAGCCCCCCGGCGTGCCCCATTCCCCCTATCCCCGGCACAACCCCGCCGCCAGAACCATCGCCAGGCGGCGCGGCTACGCGACGTACTTCGGTGAGGAGATCTGCACCACAGGCTCGCCGTGGGCCGTCGACGGGCTCATCAACGCGTCCGGCGTGCGCGCGGCGATCGATCACGAGCTGCACGCGCTGCACTGTCGGCTCTCAGAGCGGAGCGGCCGCGGCTACAAGTCCTTCCTGCCGGGGGACGGCGCCCCTGCCTACGCCCACCTGCGCTGGCCGCTCACGCAGCTCGAGCAGATGTGGCGACGCTACACGGACGGCGTGCCCAAGTTCGCCGTCTACAGCGCGAACGTAGTGCACGAGGGGCAGTACGGCAAGGACCTCGCGCAGCACATGACGGGGCTCTCCGCGTACGACGGCTACCTCGCCGACTTCCTCGACGGCCTGCTGCGCCGCCCGGAGGCCGACACGCTCGTCCTCGTGCACGGCGACCACGGCGTCCAGGACGGACCCAAGATCCTCGACCTGGGCACGCAGTGGGAGCAGCGCGCGCCGTGGGCGCGGCTGCTCGTGCCGCGCGCGCTCGTGCCCGACGTGGCGCGGTTGCGCACGAACGCGCAGCGGCTGTCCACCGCCCACGACCTGTACGCCACGCTGCGCGGCGTCCTCCTCGGACGCCCGGGCCAGCGCCAGTCGTCGCGCGCGCGGCGGCACGGTCTCACTAGCTCCGAAGTGCGCCCACGCGCCGCCGCCGCCGCCGCCTCCGCCGCCGCCTCCGCCGCCTCCGCTGCCGCGCCGCCGCCGCCGACGGGCGTCGCCGAGTGGCGCTTCAGTCTGTTGGAGGACGAAATCCCGCCGAGCCGCACGTGTGAGCAGGCACGCATCCCGCAGGCTTACTGCCCGTGCCAGCACGAGCGGCTGCCGGGGGGGCGCGCCTCGGGTGTTTGGCTTGTGTGTTTTCACCCCCACATCAACGCCGTCGGACGGCCCAAAAGGCGGCCCGCCGCCCTGAAAGGAGGCGGCAGCAGTGGCCACCCCCTCGCCCCCGACCAGCCTGGCACGCTAGACCCCACCCTCCCCTCCGCCTTTCGGCGGCTAGACGCGTCTGGGGGGGCGACCCCCCCATCTTTGTTTACCGATGCGTCCTAGAATGCAAAAACGCATTCTAGGACGCACTTTTCATCTCAAAGATACCATGTGTCTCGGGTACACAGGGCATTCTAGGATGCGATGGCTGTCCTGGAGATAGCCGCGCCGTGTCTTTTGTTACGCGTTCCATCTTAGACGCCACAAGCATCTATAGATGCACAGCTGTTCTGAGAT